GGCTTGGACCATCATTCCGTGCTTGTTGGGGTGTTAAGGTGTCCGGGTGTTTGGGCTTTAGGGTTTAGTTTAGGGTTTAGGGTGTTAGGGTGTCGGGATGCTAGGTTTTAGGATTTAGGGTTAGGGCTCGGGTTTAGGGATTCAGGACCCCGAACTCCAGCTCCATCAGTAAACAAATACTGGATCAAATCTTGATGGCACAAGAGAAAACTGAACCTCTAACTCCCCTGCGCCTCGAATTCTGAACCCTACAAGCCCCTCTATGCCTAAACCCTAAACCCTAAACTGCCGTAAACCGTAGGAGGCCTATTCTGAGGTGAGGGTGCGTGAGAAGCCCCTGTCCAAGCGGATGTCCCAGATTCAACTCTCTGTCGGTTCGTGGAAACACCAGAGCTCCTAGACCCCATGTAGGGTTTAGGGTTTAGGGTTTAGGGTTTAGGGTTTAGGGTTTAGGGTTTAGGGTTTAGGGTTGAGGGTTGAGGGTTTAGGGTTTAGCCCTACAAGGCCCCCTGAACCTCGAGTCTAGCCCTAAACCCTAAACCCTAGCCCTAAACCCTAGCCCTAATTCTAAACCCGAAACCCTAACACCCGAACGGAATGATGGTCCAAGCCAGGCTTTCGTGGACGACCCACGGTCGTCAACAGCCGGGGCGGTGTTTCAGGCAAGCCTCCTCTTCCTGATCATTGCCTCATGCCGCCCAGACGCATTAGGGTTTAGGGTTTAGGGTTTAGGGTTTAGGGTTTAGGGTTTAGGGTTTAGGGTTTAGGGTTTAGGGTTTAGGGTTTAGGGTTTAGGGTCGTTACCTGTTGTTCGGGTTTTGGGAATCTGACCTCTATAGAACCAAAACCCCATAAAAAGATATGAAGCCTATACAAACGCCCTATAGTTCACAAACATCCTTTCGATTATCCTGAAAACCCTATAACCTCTCAACCCCAAACAAATGCAACGGGCTCCCGGTGAGCTTTCCAGATGGTGCGCCTCATTGAGGGGTTTAAGTTTTGGGGGTTCTTGGGGGTGACTTCGGGCTTCTTTATTTTAGGGCTGTAGGGTGTAGCGTTAGCTCTTTTTGGGTTTTGGGTTCCTGCATCTTTCTGGCTCTCAAACCACGGCCCTTGACTCAGTTGTAGGGAAACCCTCCCCGGTAAACGGCCTGAACAGGCCGTATGTCCAGGACAGTTGGCGTGCGTGTATGTATGCGGCTTAAGTACAGCGAACCTCTATCTCCCCCCTCTATACTACCCGCCCCCTCTAGGTTCCCCCCTTAACTAAACCCTAAATCCTAAACCCTAAACTAGTAGGGGAGCCCAAAATAGGACATATCAGGCACGGCGGTGATCGTGGAGACCCTTCCCGAGTTCCGTGACTGGAAGTTCCTCTGGCTGGAAGCAATCGCGCCTCTTCGTGCATTGTTTACCGAGATGTCATGTTCCCAAACCGCGGTTTAGGGTTTGGGGTCTAGGGTTAGGCGTTCAAGGCCATCAAGAAGTCTCAAGAAAGCACTTGACCCTAAGTTTACACAGCCCCGAAGCACGAAACCCATCAACTATGGTTCCCTGATAGTGCTTTAGGGTTCAGGATTTTGGATTAGGGTAGAACTGTTTACCTGTGAATCCTGCAAGAGGTCTCTATGATCGAAAGGAAGCTCGAATAGTTGTGCAGGGCCGGGCTTATGCCTTAAACCCAAAACCATGCAGTGCTTAAGTTGTTTGGACAGGGCTTTATGCCGACGAGCAGATGCCCTCAACCCTAAACCCTGAACCCTGGGCCCCCAACCCTAAGCCCTAAACCCTAAACCCGAAACCTAGGGGTACTTAGGGTTGTGACTTCTGAGCGATCAGGTGACCGTGATATTCACAATCGAGTTGGTGTTGCGCCTCTGCGTGGCAGAGTCGCGCCCTGGCCTGGTCTAGGGTTTCGGGTCTCGGGGTTTCGGGTTCAGGGTTTAGGGTTTACGGTTTAGGGTTTAGGGTATAGGAATCAAAACCAGGGTTCAGGGGCTTAGGGTTTAGGGAACCAGGGTTTAGGGAGCCAGGGTTCGGGCTTTAGGATTTAGGGGTGCCCAGGCCCTAAGCCTTAAACCACAGCTTCAGGGCTTCAGAATTTTCGGGGAAAGGGTTTAGGCTTTAGGTGTGGGGTTTAGGGTTTAGGGCTTAGGGCTTAGGGCTTAGGGCTTAGGGCTTAGGGCTTAGGGCTTAGGGCTTAGGGCTTAGGGTTGAGTAGGGTTCAGGGTTTCGGGTTAAGGACCATATCCGACTCACAGTTACAAGCCGAAAGCGTGCCAAAGGCTGCTCGGCTTCTTCAGCAACGGCTTCAACCTCGTGGACATCGTGGCAGTGCTTCCAGGCTCCTGATCGCCACAACCCAGCGAACCCTAAATTTAGGAGCCTCCGGCTCAGGCCCAAGAGGCCCTAAACCTCTCAATGCCCAAAGCTACCCGAAGCCCGGGGGCAAGTGTCTTGGCCTAGGTTGGGGGCGGGGGGTGGGGGGAGGCGGAGGGTTCCCTCCCCCAAAACCATCCAACACGCCGCCAGGGTCGGCGGACCCTGAGCCCTAAACCCCAAACCCTGAACCCTGAACCTGGAACCCTGAACCCTAAACCCTAAGCCCTAAACCGAAGCCCAAGAACCCTGGAGCGAAGGGTACTTCCAGTTCTTCTCCTGGGCCGACACCCACTCCCTGCACGCGGTCCTCACGCTCCGGCTGCTGCGGATCATGTGGTTCATCCGCATTCTCAGGCCGGGGACTCAGGCTCTACAGCGGCTTTCTAGGGTTTAGGGTTTAGGGCTTCGGGATCTCTTCGTCGCAAATCCGATTCTCAGGAATCATAAGAGGTTCCAAGTGTCCTCAAGATCCAACCCCTCCAAACCCTCTAAGCCTCTAAGGATCCTCTCAGCACCCTCCACCCAGGAAGCTCCAGATTAAGTTGCAACATGCTGCTCCTGAACCCTAAACCCCTAAACCCCAAGACCCTAAACCCTAAACCCCCTAAAATCCTAAAACCGAAAATGCCCTAAGCCCTCAAAACTCGAACCCTAGCTGTGCCACCTGCCTTTTTTTTTTTTTTTTGGGGGGGGGGGGGGGGGGGGGGGGCAGGCTCTTCAAGTGCGCGCGCCATTTCCCTTTCTTGTCCTTCTCCATCGCCGTGCCTGGGCTGCTATGGCAAGGATGGGGTGTTCGAGTTTAGGTTTCGTGTCTAGGGGTTTGGGGTTTTGGGTGGTAGTGATAATCTGATTACAAGGGCATCATTCGGAGAAGTTCATCATCATTGGGTATCTTTCCAGGTTTGCAAGGCAACCCAACACTACTCCAAAAAGCCCTGAACCCCTTCCCAGATCAGCCCAAGTTGTTGGGTTTCGGGTTCAGGGTCTCTAGTGTCTAGGGTCTGGGGTTTAGGGTTTAGTGTTTAGGGTGTGGGTTTAGGGTTTAGGGCTTAGGCAACGGTCTTAGTCTGAGGTCCTCTACCAAGTGCTCACCTCCAGTGCGCTGCTCATCCTTGCCGTGGTTGGCTTCCTCATGGCCGCCGGGCTTAGGTGTTTAGGGTTTAGGGTTTAGGCTTTAGGTGGGGGCCTGGCATCTACAAGGTTTTTGTCAGCTCTATAGTGCATCAGCAGCTCAAGATATGGGTTTCCGAAATTCGGGACCTTATTGGGGTCCTGATAGAAAGGAATCCTGCTGTTTGGGGGTCTATATCAAGAGTCCCTCCTTTTCGCAAACCCCCAACATGGTCAATTCCATAACAAATCAGGGCTTTTGTGCGCGGAGTTCGGCTTCCCCCTTCAACACGACGCCCTACTAAAGGACGCCGAGTAGTACCTTTGCTTTCGTCTATATTACGGGTTCAGGGTTTTGGAGTTTAGGGGTTGGTTTTTGGTCTCTCTTGCTTGTTTTCTTTTGTTTTTGTTTGATGGTATAGGTTTTTTACGTTTAGGGCTCAGGGTGATTTGGGGCTGCAGATGATTCAGGTCTTCAAGTCGGGGAATCCATACAACCGTAAAGAAACACCCACCCACCCAAATGCCCTAAAACTTGCAAGCCTAAATCCCAAATTACACCCTGAAAGCCCCTTGGATCCTAAACCCCATAAACCCACAAGCCCGAAGCCCCAAACCCTGTAACCCCTCAACCCTTAAACCACTAAACCCTTGACGCAATGGGTACCCCTACACCCTATAGACACGTAAACCCTTCTGAAGATCTTAAATTCTTGAGTCCCATGGCTTGGGATTTTCCTTCCTTCTACTAACAGTCCTCAGTTGGGAACATAAGCGGGGGTACTACAATCCCGATTAAGGACTGTTAGCATAACGGGGGACGCCCCAACCTTAAGGCCTTCAACTCTTGAACCCTAAACCCTAAACCCTTAAATTCTGAAACCCATATGGGTGGTTGTCAACATTCTGGTCCCTTCTTGGATCCCTAGAAACGTACCTAATCAATGAAGTAGTAGTATCCGAGAACACCCACATGAATTTTGGCAACCACCCGTATGACTTTCATTAGGTCGTGTCCGCAAGCCTCCTCTACCTGGTGGAGTCGGATCGATGTGAGGAGCAGGGATAGGGGTTTCGGGTTTAGGGTTTAGGGTTTAGGGTTTAGGGTTTAGGGTTTGAGTTTCACATCAGGGTGTTGGGTTTAGGGACTCAGGGGAACCCATGAGCCTCCCGAAACTCCCCTCAGGCCCTGGGCTTCGACTCAGCTCAGCCCCTGAAGCTTAAAGCCCTTGAAGAGTCCCCTGTTATGTGCCCGAGGGACTCCCACTGGAAGAAGGGTTTAGGGTTACATGGTAGTAACCCAAAACCCCTAAGCACCCTACACGCCCTAAAGTGAAGCCAGACCGCCACACCCCAAAGTTTTAGGGTTTCGGGTTTAGGGCTTAGGGCTTAGGTGCAAAATTGTACCGCCTAATCTAGGTCATGCAGTTGTATAGTGTACAGTGTATATATGCCGATGCATCTAACTCTCAAGATTCCCAGTTGAGCGTAGAAAAGAGATTTTCATGGTAGCGTGGAGCCATAGCGAAAAGGGGCACACAAGGAAAGTCACTGGGAAAGGAGGAAAGGGCAGGAGTACAAAGCCCCGGAAGAAGGGCGTCAGGAGCGCTGAGGCGCTGGAACGGCGCAAGGGCCGCAAAGTGTGGGCTGCTGACAAAGGGCTACCAGGTTCGCGTAGGCTGGACCAGACACCAGCTGAACCTGAGGGTCCGCCGCCGTGGAAGCGGCAGTGCGTGCCAGGCACACCGCCTGAAGCCTTCGACGTGAACTACGTGAAACCCCCTCAAACACCCCCGGAGGGTAGAACTATAGAGGGGACCTCTCCGGGAACACCGGAAGAAGCGTTCAAGGATCAGGGGTTGGAGCAGCCGAAGACGCCAAGCATTGTCCTTACGCCTGAGGAGGAACCTTCAAGTGATAGCTCCTTGCTGTCGGTGGTGCCAAGGGACAGGGCCGAGCCGAAAGCGAGGTCAAGAAGCCGGTCTAGGTCGAGCTGCAGCTCGGCTCCCCGTGAAGGGGAAGAGTCGGTGCCATCCGCACCATCGGTGCCTGTGAGAAGAGAGGCTAGGGTAGCAGCTATCTTGGCAGCAGGTGCGGCGGAGGCTCGCGCGAAGGCAAAGGCCAGAGCGGCAGGTACAGCTATCTATCGCCGCCGCAACCGTGGGTTGGTGATTGTTCCTGAGCCTGCAGTGCAACCAGAGGCGGCAGTACCTACCATCGCCGCGCTTGAGGCAGCGCCCAAAGCAGAGCCCAAGTCGAAAGGTAAGCAAAAGGGAAAAGGCCGAGGCTTGGGTGTTTGGACCGCTGCAGAGGAGGACCGGCGGGTGCGAGAAGGGTGGACACACAAGGCGTCCTTGGACACGCGACTCCAGCACCTGGCGTTGAGGCAGTACTGGGCTGGAATAGACGCCGGTAAGCCTGAGACCCGGAAGGGAGGAGCACCCTTGACCCCAACAACGAACTACCAGATTCGAAGGTTGGCGTTTGGCTGGATCACCAAGGTAACCGCGGGATCTGTTGGGTTGTCCTTGCAAAGGGCGCTTGCAGGCCGAGCCGCGAGCGGCACGGCAGGCGGAGCCTGCAGCAGCTGCGACGAGCGGGAGTTGCGTGCGAGAAGAGCAGCCGTAGCATTCACAACCAGGGTCGAGGCTAAGGCCAAACCCAACTTTGTGTATAGAAGGCCCTCAGGACAGTTGAGGAGCAGCTCTGAGGAGGAAGGCTCCGAGGAGTGCGAGGGAGAGGCCGAGTGATCGGCCCTTCTTCGAGAAGAGAAACGCATTTTTGAACGCCGCTGCCCGAGAGAGAAAAAGGGGAAGGGTAGGCGGCAGGGTTTGAGTTTAGCCTAGACCAAATAGGGTTCTTTTCTGTCGTTGACGTAGAAAACACAAGATGGACGCAACACAGGTGCAACAGCTACAGCAGACAATCGCAGCAATGCAGGCAGAGATAACGGCGCTAAGGGCACAGCAACAACAGGCAGAACAGGGGCAAGCAGGAGTAGCAGCCCTAGCTCAGTCTGTAGCAGAGCTAGCCCAAACGATGAGGGTTAGGGAAAAGGGACCTGACTCCACAAGAATTCTGTTCGATACCAAAGCCCTAGGTAGACCCGAGCGGTTCAACAATGTGGAAGATGAGTTCCGTAGATGGAGTCGGTCGGTCGTCAATATGTTGGCGTCTGTGTTTGGAAGAAAGTTTGAAGAGGTACTTGAGTGGGCACAAGAGCAAGAAGACGAAGTCAAAGACACAGATGTAGACCTGCAGTTTGGTAACAGCCCAGCCCCCGCTAGCCCCGGTGGCACAGTAACAGCAGCCGCAGACACCGTAGAAGACATCCCGGAAAAGGGTGACCAAGTATGGCGGCTACTCCAGCACCTGTGCACGGGAGAATCCGAGGGCATAGTGGTGAACTCTGGTGGTGGTTTTGAGGCCTGGAGACGCCTGCACCGGCGGTTCGACCCGCTGTCGGCAGGCCGCAAGAGGAACCTCTTGAGGGCCATTCTGTCACCAGTGAGAGTCAAGGGTTGGGAGCATGTTAGACAAGCTATAGACCAACTAGACGACCTGATAAGAAGATACGAAGCCCGAAAGAATGATGCAGGCGTGAGAGAAAAGTTGAGTGACGACTTGAAGAGTACAGCCCTAGAGTTGCTAGTTCCTACAGACTTAGAGCAGCATCTTATCCTCAACAAAGCTAGGTTAAACACCTACGAAGATATGAAGGGGGAGATACAGCAGTTGGTTGAGGTTAAGACGAAAGGGACGGTAGAACAACCGGGGAAAATCCCAGCGTCATCGTCCCAAGGACCAGCGCCAATGGAGGTTGATGCCTTAACCCAAGCCATAAGCTCCCTCATGAAGGGGAAGGGGAAAGGTAAAGACCCTAAAGGTAAAGGTAAAGGTAAGGGTGGCAAAGATGGCTCAAACGGAAAGGCTCAAGCCAAGAATGGCTCTGTACAGAAGTTCCAAGGCAACTGTCACAACTGTGGCAAGCCTGGCCATAAAGCCGCCGACTGTTGGTCAAAGCTCAAATTGGGAAACACGGACTCAAAGAACAAGGGCAAGCCCAAGGACAAGGGCAAAAGCAAAGGCAAAGGAAAGCACGCTGGATCCCTAGAAGAGGGAGAGGCAGAAGAACCAGCTCAGGAAGATGAGCTGGGTGCAGTTGAACTTTGCGCTGTAGAAACCGCCTCCCAAGGCGGGCGGTGGATGAAGTTTAACTACGACACAGGGGCGGCCCGGACAGCAATCCCTCAGGACTGGGAGAGTAAGGGTTCGCCTGCTGAAGGCCCAGAGCTGACCTTCAAGACCGCAAGTGGAGAACTGATCACCAGCAAAGGTGCATGCAAAATCTCCGGCAGAGACGAGAATGGCCGGATGAAGGGGATCACTGGGTCCCTGGCCCCGGTGCACAAACCGCTGGTGTCAGCCTACAAGTGTGCGAAACAAGGGTATGTGGGTGTGATCCAAGAGGATGAAGGGCACCTCATACCCCGCGCAAGCCCGTTAGGCCAAAAGATAGAAAAGCTGGTAAAACATGCGAGCGCCGAGGAAAAGAAGGGTACGATACCCCTCTACCAGGAGGGAGGTGTCTACAACTTCTACTTGGAAGCAAACGCAGTCGAGGCGGCCAAGGCCGCAACGTCGGGTTTCAGCGGGCAGCTGAAAGCGTAAGTCCCACTGGGACGCCAGAAGCCGGGCACCCTTTGTGCGCCGGTGAGGTGGCCGGACCAGAAGCTCCGGCGCAAAGCCCGGAAGGGGAAGAAGAAGGCGAAGTAGAGGTGGCGGCTCCTAAGCAGGTTCGGTCTCCGATAGAACCGACCGCCGCAGAGATAGCTGAGCACGAGGTGCTTGGACATGTCCAATACAGAGAGTGGTGTCGCCACTGCGTGGCTGCGAGAGGCATTGGCCAGCAGCACCGCAGCCGGGAGCAACGTGAGCGTCAGAACGACGGACTTCCAACGGTGGCGTGTGACTACTGTTTTATGGGACAAGACGATGGCAAGGTGAAACCAATCCTGGTCATCAAAGATTCGAAGACGCAAGCAATAGCTGCGACTTTTGTGGAAGCCAAGGGAACAGACCCCTACGCCATCAAGTTTTGGCAGGGCTTTGTCAAGCACCTTGGTTACAAGAAGTTCATTGCGAAAAGTGATGGAGAACCAGCCATAAAGGCTATGAAGGCGAAGGCCATAGATGGCCTGAAGGGGATTGAAGCAATATCCCAAGAGACTCCCGAGGGAGACCACCAGGCCAACGGCCTGGCAGAGGTAGCTGTGAGAGAAGTGAAAAGGCAAGTACGGGTCATGAAGAGCTCTCTGGAGGAGAAGCTCGGGATCACGCTAAGTGACGAGGACCCAGTCCTTGCATGGCTGCCGAGACACGGAGCAGACTTGCTCACGAGGTATAGGAAGGGAGAAGACGGCAGGACGCCCGAGCAGCGCCGGTCAGGGAAGGCCTGGAGACGGCCAGCCTTAGAGCTGGGTGAAAGGCTTTTCTACCGTGAAGCGGTCGCCGCGGAATCCAACAAGAATGATCTCCACATGAAGATGTTGGAGGGCAGGTACATAGGACACCATGGCGGGACCGGAGCGTTGCTGGTCATCACACCCAATGGTGTGAAGAGGGCGCAAGGAGTGAGACGTTTACCGCCTGAGCAGAGATGGGACGCTCAGGGATGGACAAGCCTCAGAGGCTATCCTTGGGATGTAGCCCACAGAGCTGGTAGGAGCCACAGGCTCAACGGAGAAGGCCCGCTTCCAGTGCAGGCCCGGCACCAGTGTTGGCGCCGCCAGTCCAAAGGAGACTGTACATTCTGAAAGCGGATGTAGAGCGCCTGGGACCAACCCCAGGCTGCCCCGGGTGTACATGCGTACTCCTGGGAGAGTCGACGCAGGTCAACCACACAGAGGCCTGCAGAGCCAGAATGATGGAGCTTCTAGCTCAAGACGAGAGGGGAAAGGCCAGAATTGAGGCACACGAGTTGCGCCAGAGACGAAGGCCAGAGCCCCCAGAGAGGGAAGAAGAGCTCCGAGTAGCTGATGCGGTAGGTGAACCGGAGGCTTCAGGCGTGCCTGAGGCAGGAGGGAGAAAGAAAAAGAGGGGCACGAGTAGCCCGGGGTCACCCGGGACTCTGCCGGTAGGAAAGCAGACGCCGCAGAAGCGAGGAGCTGAGAGTAGACCAACAGAGTTAGAAAAAGAGACGGCGAAGCCGATGTCAGCAGATGAAAGGGCTCGAAGAGCCTACTACGACCTTGACGAACCACCGCCCGCGCAAAGTGAACCGAGCGCGGCAAGTGGAATCAAAAGAACGGCCGAGGAGCCGCCTGAAAGCTTAGACCCTAGAGCAACAAGCTCAGGAGATGTAGAAGAACTGGTGTCGCAGCCAGTGGTACAGCAGCAGGCTGAAGAACAGCCGCCGCAAAGCATGCAAGCGCTGAGTTCTCTCAAACGAGAAACTGCACTGTTAGTGCAAGGCATGGTTCGGAACAAGTATAGGGCAGAGCAAGTAGACGTCACCGAACAGGAGGTGATGGATATCGCATCCTTGTGCACAGCCATGGGAGCCGTGGATGTGATGGAAATCTACAGCCCAAAACGGTTTACGGAACACGCGCCGCGACTGGGCCTTTTGCCTGGATATGCGGTAGACTTGTGTGAGACCAAGCCCAACAGTGAAGAGCATTGGGACCTGTCTAGAGAAGAAGACAGGAAAGAACTAGAGGAGCTGATTGATGCAGAAGAACCCCGGCTGTTGACCGGAGGCCCGCCGTGCGAAGCCTTCTCGAGGCTTCAAGCACTCAACCAGAAGCGGGTGTCACCAGAGGTGAGAAAGAAAAGAAGAGAGCAGGGAGAGCAACACCTGCACTTGAGCATTAAGATGTACCGAAAGCAGATGGAAAAGGGAAGGTACTTCCTACACGAGCATCCGTGGAGCGCGGACTCATGGTACGACGAGGAAGTCAAAGCCCTCGCAGAGGATGAAAGAGTTTACGTGGTAAAAGGCCCCATGTGTAAATGGGAGATGAAGGCCAACGACGTGGCAGGAAACAAAGGATATGTGAGAAAGGAAACCGGCTGGATGACAAACAGTCCAGTGTTGGCCGAAATCCTTCAGGGAGAGTGCAGCAACAAGCAGGGAGGACTGTGGCATAGGCATGTCCGCCTTATAGGTGGAATCGCCCGAGGTGCTGCGGTTTACCCGCCAAAGCTGGTAAATGCTGTACTTAAAGGCTTGAAAGAACAAATGGTTGAAGATGGAAGCCTAAGCGCCGTAGATGCGTATGCGGCAGGACCAGTACCCGAGGAGCCCAGCATGCCTGCTGGCAACTGGTACCAATACTGGGACGACGTGAATGGAGGGTACCTGGACTCCGAAGGAGTCCTCAAAGCTAGACAGCTGGAGATGGAGTACATCCACAAGCAAGGTGTGTGGAAGAGGGTACCTCTGGACCAGTGCATTCAAGAAACAGGCAAGCAACCAATCCCACTGAAGTGGGTAGACACGAACAAAGGGGATCACACGAACCCCAACTTGAGGTCCAGACTGGTCGTGAAAGACATCAAGGCCAGGAAGGGCCCCGAGGACCAGCTAGACCCAGCGATGTTGTTTTCGGCTATGCCCCCGCTAGAAGCGGTGCGCATTCTTACGTCCATGCTTATGAGCAAACAACGCTCGAAGCACGGGAGGCCGTTACGACTTGGGAGCTGGGACATCTCAAGAGCCCATTTCTATGGGACTCCAAAGAGAAACATTTATGTGAAGCTCCCAGAGGAAGAGGGAGCAGGAGAAGGAGAGTGTGGACTGCTATTGAAGTCAATGTACGGAACGCAAGACGCGCCAGCGATATGGCAGGACCACTACACTCAAACTCTGATTCAAGCAGGATGGAAGAGAGGAAGAAGCAATGGTGCAGTCTTCTATCACCCAGTGCTGGATGCCCGTGTCTTAGTACACGGAGACGACTTTCTGTGCTTGGGTGACGAAGCAGCGCAGGAAGCACTAGACAAGACACTCCGAGAAGCCTACGAGCTGAAGCGCACAGGAGAGGTAGGAATCGGAGTTGCAGGAAGCAACCAGATCACTTTCCTCAATCGGGTGATACGGTTGGAGCAACACAGTGGGAGACCCTGCGCCGTGATTGAAGCAGACTCGCGGCATGCAGAACTCCTCATCGAGGAGCTGGGTCTGAACAATGGTAAGGGCGTAGAGACAGCGGATGTTAAGAAGTCTGTGGATCAACAATTGCTGGAAGCTAAGGCAGCTGCACTTCCACCAGAGATGGTGAAGCAGTATAGGTCCTTGGTGATGCGCGCAGCATACTTGGCACAAGATCGTGCAGACATAGGCCATGCGGTCAAGACACTGTCAAGAAAGATGGTAATGCCGACAGACGCTGACTGGGGCAACCTGAAGCGGTTGGCTCGTTATCTCAAGCAGTACCCGTATGCGAAGTTGGTTTATGAACAACAGCGAGAACCAACCAAGCTCCGTATCCAAGTAGATGCGGACCATGCAGGTGACGCCGTTACGAGACGGAGCACCACGGGTATGATCGCGTTCTATGGCCAGCATCCCATAAAGCACTCGTCAAACGTGCAGTCGACGATTGCCCTATCGACAGGGGAGTCAGAATACTACGCCTTAGTGAAGGCAGGTTCGACTGGACTTGGGATCCAGTCCCTGTTAGAAGATTGGAGCTGCGAGCTGGAGGTTGTCTTGGAGACGGACTCCAACGCAGCCAAAGGCCAAGGGAGCCGGATAGGCCTGGGAAAAGCTCGCCACGTACAAACAAGGTACTTGTGGTTGCAAGAACGCGTGGCAGCAGACCACTTGAGGATCCATAAAGTGCTTGGGGAGAAGAACTGTTCAGATATCCTCACGAAGAGCGTAGGAGGACCAACGCTGAGGAAGCATCTGAAGACACTCGGTGTTCAACTGAGCTCTGAAAAGAGCCGCGGGCACAAGGAACTCCTCTTGTAAAGGTCCCTGGCCAGACTCCGCTACCTAGGCGTGAGAATGAGCCCAATACCAGAGAAGTTTCACTCCGCACATAGCAGAAGAGAAAGTATAGTGCTTAGAAGGCATTTCTGCGCACTAGAAGGGGTGCAAAATTGTACCGCCTAATCTAGGTCATGCAGTTGTATAGTGTACAGTGTATATATGCCGATGCATCTAACTCTCAAGATTCCCAGTTGAGCGTAGAAAAGCGATTTTCATTAGGGTTTAGGGGTCCAGCCCGAAACAGTTCGAACCCAAGACCCACCGCCCTCTCTCGAAGAGCCATTTTTTATTGTTGTTGGGGTTAGGGTTTAGGTTTTACCCTGAAGGATGCCTTGATGTCATCTACACGAAATGCGCACGAGCTACCTCAGGGAGTGAGTCAAACTGTACGAAGCCCCTGTGAACCCCTACCCTCTAAACCCTAAACCCTCAACCCTAAACCCTAAACCCGAAACCCGAAACCCTAAACCCTAAACCCTAAAACCTAAAACCTAAACCCTAAACCCTAAACCCTAACCACCCCCCCCCCCCCCCCAAACCCACAAGAAGTGCCTGCAAGGAGCTCGGCCTTTCATGCAGCGGCTTCGAGTCGATCCCGGCATCATTCTGGTCCCTGAAGCCCTGAAAACCCTCAACGGGCTTAGGGTTTGGGGTTTATAAAGGGTTTAGGGTTTAGGGCTAGGGGTTTAGGGTTTAGGGTTTGCGGTTTGGGGTTTGGGGTTTAGGGTTTCGGGAAAGCCCAGAAGCCCTAAACGCCCTTACAAGCCCTAAAAGCCTTAAAGGCCCAAAACCCGAAGGTGCGACAGCCGAGCCTTGGAAGCTCCACACACCCTGAACTCCACAAGCAACGATGCCCTAAAGCCAAGCCTCGGAAACTCTGAAGGTTTAGGGTTTGGGTTTAGGGTTTAGGGCCTTCTAGGTCCTTACATATATACGGCCTAGGAGGCTTCATATGGGATTCTTGACATCCTTATCAAGATATGCTCCCTGCATCCTAACCCCGAAACCCTAAACCCAAAACCCTGAACCCTAAACCCTAAACCCTAACCCGAAACCCTACCCTAGACCCTAAACCCTAAACCCTAAACCCTAAACCCTAAACCCTAAACCCTAAAACCCTAAAACCCTAAAACCCTAATCCTAAACCCTAAACCCGAAACCCTAAACCCTTAACCCCAAACCCTAAACCCTAAACCCTAAACCCCAAACCCTGAACCCCAAACTCATGAGGGCTCTTTCTGGGAGTCTGTGGGAGGTTCTCGATCTGCACGCTGACCACCGTGGGCTATGGGGACGTTATCCCCTTGACCCGCACGGGAGACCTGGCCTTGACATTGAGGGTTGAGGGTTTAGGGTTTAGGGTTTAGGGTTCAGGGTTTAGGGTTTAGGGTTTAGGGTTTAGGGTTTAGGGTTTAGGGCTAGGGTTTAGGGTTCCGGGTTTGGCATATAGGGGTTCTTACTGGAGGACCTCTGTAGCCTTGAGGTGCTGTTCCCTACAGCCCCAGACCCTCAAAGGCCCGACAAGTGGTTTAGGGCTTCGGGTTGGGATGTTCCGCCTTGTACGAACAGTCCTTAATGGGGATTAAAATATAGGGGGTACTGCAATCCCTATTAAGGACTGTTATAGGAGGAACATCCCAAGCTTCGGGCCCAAAATTCCTTTTGTCATTTTTTGCCGGCTTGGACCTCCTAAGGCCTAAGAGAGCATTGAAACCCAAAAAGACGCGTAAGCCTAAACAAGCTGCAGCCATAGCCCTGAGTCCCCTGAACACCTTCGGCCCTTAAAGCTCTATACGCGAAAATCGGGGGACCACTAGAACAGCCCCCCAAATAGTAGGACCCCTTAATTGTAAGGCCCCGAATTAAATTACCAAATGAAGATGGGGGCTTAGGGGGCGATTCCCTTAAACGCTGCAACGCCCGGTTGCACGGGATGAGAGGTAGAACGCTGGCTGCCTTCATCGCGGTCTGCGCTGTCATCATCATCGCCCTCGCCGGCGTGCCCCGACCGAGGGGTGTGTAAGGTTCAGGGTCACTGCCTGGGCTTGTAGGGTTCTAAGATGTTCCAAGGGTCGGACCTCTTCAGGGCTTGGCTTGAAGGGCATGGGTTTTTCAGGCTTTCGGGCTTCTTAGGGATTTAGGATTTAGGGTTTAGGGTTTATAAGGCTCGGGAGAGGCTAGCGCTTCGGGTTTAAGCTTTTGGTTAAGGTTCTCGGTTTTTGGGTTTTCTGTGGGCCTTCAAAGCCTACTGAGACCCTAAACCCCAGCCTAAACCCCATAAAAGCGCTAAGCCCTTCCTGCACTGACCAATCCCTTAAAAGGCCGTTAATAGGGTTGACTTAGGGGATTTTAAGTCAACGAATGAGGCTATTATACCCTATAATCCCCTTAAGAGGCCTTTAGTAGGGTTGATTAAGGGGATTTTAAGGCCTTTTATAGCCCATCCTGGGAGGCCCTGCTGTACTTCAACTTCTGCGAGTTGCTTCCCCAGCGTTCCGCCAAAACGCACGCCGTCAAAGAGAGCCCACAGGCCCGACTGCTGGAGGCGCCATTTTTTTTGTCTTGTGTGTTTTTATTGTTATTATTATTATTATGTTCTTTTATTTTTTTTTTTGGGGGGGGGGGTGTGGCGGGCGAGGGAGGGAGTAGGGTGTTTAGGGATTGATTAGGCATCATGACCGTCAGGGCCTCAAGCCTTTAGGACCTGAAGGCCTGAAGCTCTCCTGCCTTGTTAAGGACCCCCCACCCCCTCGCCGGGCCTATGCATTATAAAGACGCAACAAATTTATTACAGTGAGTCGGGCTGGCCCGTGGACTACCTATCACGAAATTTGTTTGGCCTCGTTTTCGCAATGGAAGTCAATAAGGCCTTTTTGCAACATTAGGGACTTTCGGGATTTTAGGGGGTTTCGGGCTTTTAGATTCAGGCGGGGTGCGGGTGGTGTTTGAGGTTTCATGGCTTAAGGTTGGGCCTTTGGAAAGGGTTTGGAGTTTAGGGGCGTGACTTTCGGGTTTTGGAGGTTAAGAGTGTTGGGTGGCTCCCTAAATGAGAAGGAATCCACTTTAAGTTAGGGTTCAGGGTTTAGGGTTGGCCGGGGGGGGGGGGGGTTAAAGGTCTGAAGTTCAAGAATTTTGGATTTCAGGGTGTGCTGTGCTGGGCGGCTTGTGTTCCGAATGCCCCAGTGATCCGAAAACAGAGGCCCTGCTGAACCTCTCAGGGAGGCTACATGGTCCCTCAATATGGTTCCTTACTTAACGTGTTCTGAAGTATGTGCACTTGGCGTTTATGGGGTATTATGCTTAAGGGGTATTTCAGGGTTCCCCAATTAAGGCCCCAAAATTCAGGGACCATTAAGACAGCGCCAACCACATGTGAGGCCTCCACCCGAGGATCCCTTCAGAGCCTGAAGACCAAAACCACAAGTCAAGGGACTAACCCTTTTTTAAGGGACCTTGGGGGTTTATTTGGGGTTTATCTAGGGGCTGCTTAGGTGTATAGGGACTATATAAGGTATATTACTAAGGGTTATATAGGGGAATAGGAGTAAGGGTCCCTTCTAGAGCTCCCTCCCCCTTGAACAAGCAACAAGCCAGGAGAAAGCCACTGAGGTGAAGGAGGCCCCTGACCTCTGGCATAGGTTGGGATGTTCCCCCCCCTTTATACTAACAACCCTTGATAGAGATTATGGTTTAGGGTTTAGGGTTTAGGGTTTAGGGTGATTGTAGTACCCCCTACGATAATCCCCGATTAAGGACTGCTGGTAGAAGGGGGAACATCCCAAGGCATAGGCGTTGAGGGTGTGGGTTTTGTGGAGCGTTGGGGTGTTGAGCGTTAACGGTTGGCTGAGGGTCTAGGGACGAGGAGTTGAGGGTGTCGGCTTTATCGGGTTTTAGGGTTAGGGATGGGTTTCGGGTTTAGGGTTTAGGGTTTAGGGTTTAGGGTTTAGGGTTTAGAGTTTAGGGTTTAGGGTTTAGGGTTTAGGGTTTAGGGTTTAGGGTTAGGGTTTAGGGGTCAGGGTTTAGGGTTTCGGGTTTAGGGTTAGATATTACACCTATCAATCCTACCCTGATGTGTCGGGCTTTAGGGCATTTCAGGGTCCGATGGGGTATGAATGGGGATGTAGGAAATAAATGCCGTTCTGAATGTGTAGGATGTTGGCTAGGATCCATGTTACAATAGCCCCTAAACCTTAAACCCTGATAATCATATAGGGTTTAGGGTCTAGGGTTTAGGGTTAAGGGTTTCCCTAAACGCGCAAAGGCTTGGGACCAGCTGATCTACAAGCTGAGCGTGGCCGCCCACTCGCACTCTGCAGGCCAAGTGTCGCGCCCTGCCTTGCGCATGCTCGAGGACGGTTAGGGGGTTTGGGTTTTAAGGTCTTAGGGCTTAGGGTTAAGGGTCCCCAAACCCTCAACCCTATTAAACCCTACATGAGCCCATGCGCCTTCACCCACCCTAAACCCTAAACCCTAAACCCTAAACCCTAAACCCTAAACCCTAAACCCTAAACCCTAAACCCTAAACCCTAAACCCTAAACCCCAAACCCTAAACCCTAAACCCTAAACCCTAAACCCCTAAAACCCTAAAACCCTAAAACCCTAAAACCCTAAACCCTAAACCCTAAACCCTAAACCCTAAACCTTAAACCCTAAACCCAAACCCTGAACCCTAATCCCTAAACCCTAACCTTAAACCCTAACCCCTGAACCCCCTGGCAGGACAGGGGCCGAAGCTTATGCGCCGAGCTACAAGGCTCCCTCCACGTGGTGCTCCGTGCATGACCCCCGCGAGGAGAGGGTTTTAGGGTTTAGGGTTTAGGGCTTCTCGCCGCGCCGCGGCAGTAGATGTCATGCGGAGATGGCGCCCCAACACACCCAGGGGGTGTGAGGGGGCGGCATATGTCGCGGCGGCGTATATTGAAGTTGGAGCCACCACAACCAGAAAGGTTGGGTTGTTTTATTTTTCCCACCCCCTGCTTACGCAGGCATCCACCCAACTTTTCTCCTTTTAGGGTTTCGGGCTAACGCCCTAAATTCCCACTTCCCACCCCCATCCTTTGAACGGTTGGGTAGGACACTTCCACCCTCATCCTTTGAACGGGTCAAGGTCTTACCTCGGTGGGGGGAGGGGGGAGAGGGGGGGAGGGGGCTGACCTGCCTTGCGGCCCCTCTGGTCCCTCAACACGCTCCGTCAGGGGCCCGGCACCAGGGGGCTCCGGAGGGGGGCGGTAGGGGGGGCCCGGACGACCTGCAGAAGCCATTTTTGGAACAGGTCGCCAGGTCTAGGGTTTCTTATAATACTTGAGAATCGGAGAAGGGGGGCGGGGTACCCCAGGCGGGGTACTATTTTTGGAACAGGTCGCCAGGTTTAGGGTTTCTTAATAATACTTGAGAATCGGAGAAGGGGGGCGGGGTACCCCAGGCGGGGTACTGCACCGGCACTGGAGGTGCAGCTCACGCTCAACACAACTCTTTAGGCTTGCACAGGAAGTCCAAGCGATGGTGTTAATCGCTGTCGGGTGATTTCTGGGTCCAGGCACCCTAGAGAAGGGTGGGTACGGCCTAAGCAGGCCTGGGTGGGAATTTAGGGTTTGGCTAGGGTTCGCGGGCTTCTGGGCGTTCTTAAGGGATTTTTTTTTCTTTGGGGGGGGGGGGGGTTGCAAACAGGGGGGGGGCTTCAGGGGAAGCCAAGCCCTAGAAGAACTAAACCCTAATGTTGCATGGTCCCCCTTCTACTAATCGTCCTTAATAGGGATTGCAGAAACCCTAAACCCTAAACCCTAAACCCTAAACCCTAAATCATCTCTACTAAGGACTGTTAGTACAAGGGGGAGAACGTCCCAACCCTTGTCCCAAGAGAAGCCCTGCGAAGCCCTTGCCTTGAACGCTGTAGGCCCCAAGCCGCCCCTTCAGGGTTTTGGAGTTCTAGGGTTTTAGGGCTTAAGGGTTTAGGGTTAAAGGGATTTAGGGGTTTAAGGTTTTAGGGTTTTAGGGTTTTAGGGTGCCCCAAGCCCTGCAGATTTCAGATTCCTAAAGAGTGAAACGCGACCCTCTGAGCTCGATAGCCAGCCTGGCCATCAGTTTTTCAAACTCTTCAAACTCCCCAAAACCCTAAACCCTAAACCCTACACCCTAAACCCTAAACCCTAAACCCTAAACCCTATTCAAACTCCAAGCATTCGAACTTCAGATCGTTGCTGGCGTTTGCATCCTCGAACGCTTCAAGCTCCTCAGACCCTAGAGATTCAACTCTCTCTCTCTCTCTCTCTCTCTCTCTCTCTCTTATCTGACGTTGCAAATTGCTGAAAGTGGACCAAAAAGTACTCCTGACACCTCTCAGATCCCTCCCCCTGAAACCCTAAACCCTACCCTAAACCTTAAACCCTAAACCCTAAACCCTAAACCCTCAACCCTAAACCCTAAACCCTCCTGAAGCTGCAACTTTGGCATGGGCCCTCTTTCCCCAAGAAGTGTGGCGGCCTCCATGCCCGAAGATACTGTCGGGGTCGGAATCATTACGAATAATCTTCCCTTACGATGCCCCTGTATAAATATACGATAATGACGCTCCTAAACCCTAAACCCTAAACCCTAAACCCTAAACCCTAAACCCTAAACCCTAAACCCTAAACCCTAAACCCTAAACCCTATTCTAATTATGAAGACCCCTATATACTAGGCCCCGTTCAAGTCGGAGCAAGGCTGGCCTGCCAAGATCCTCAGAATGAAACCATCAAGGTCTTATGGCTTCAGGGGATTATAGGTGACCCAAGGATCCTTGGGGGTTGTGAAGAGTTCGAGATGAAAGGCTGGCTTGTTGCGGAGGGTTAAGGGTTTAGGGTTTAAGGTTTAAGGTTTCCGAAGCCTCGCACGCCTCCAGCTTTCAATCCTGAAGGAGCCCCCCCGCCAATGCTGCGGGAAAGGACTCCGCGCTCCTTCGCGGGAGAGCCGATGATGGAGTTTGGGGTTTAGGGTTTAGGGTTTAGGGTGTAGGGTTCATAGGGTGTAGGTTAAGAACCGCCCCAGCCCTAAACCCTAAACCCGGGTAAGAGGTCTGACACCCTTAGGCCTAGACAGCCCATCCTCAAAGAGCCCTCGGAGCCCTAAGCCCGAATTTGTCATGCCCAGGAGCCTGCAGCCCTAAACCCTAAACCCTAAACCCTAAACCCTAAACCCTAAACCCTAAACCCTAAACCCTAAACCCTAAACCCTAAACCCCAGCGTGGCAGTCCGATCCCGCGAAAGATTGCAAAAAGCTGCGCGAGTGAGAAGCCTCCCCCAAGTGACCCCACAAAATTTTTCGGGTTTAGGGTAAATATTCCCACCTCTTGGTACGGTATCCCTTTGGATGAGGTTTTGGGGAACCCTATGAGGAGATGTTGAGCTGAATTTCGAAAAAAAAGGGGTTCGGAGGTCTTTCGCTGTTCCTTGGCCTAGGATGGTTGCAGCAGATGCTCTCTGCCTAGTGTGGGCTTGGGCTCAGGGTAGCCAAGCAATGCTTCTTTAGACCTCCAAAAGCCTCTCCAATACCTTTTTCCGGGCCTTCACCCTGGGCTCTACATCCTAAATGCCCTTTACTCCCTAAATCCTCACTCCCCAAAACCCTAAGCCTTAAAACCCTCTCTACGTCTTCTTCACCCGAATCTTCAGGGACTTCCAGCTAGCTAACCCTAAACTTCCTAAACCCTCAACCCTCAACCCTCAACCCTAAACCCTAAGGAACAGCCGCAGGTTCTGGACCGTAGCGCTCAGCTGGTTCCATGATCTGCGCCGACACGGCGCCCTGGAGCAAACTTTGAGCATTTGAAGGAAGTTTGGGGGGTTTGCGGGGTTTCGGGGTTCTGGGGGTTTTCTGGGGTTTCGCGGCTTGGGGTTTAGGGTTTGTGTGTAGGGCTGGAGGTTAGGAGGTTTAAGGATTTAGCGCTTACAGGGTCGAGGGTCTAGTCCTGAAAGCGATGGGAATCATGGAGCCGCCTTTATTTCTATTAAACGCCCGAAGGTTTGCAACCAGATGGCTTCAGCCTGGCCAGCATCGTCGTGGCGCGACCTGGCCCTGAAAGAAGATATGGGTATCCCTAACCTACCCCCCCCCTCCTCCCCCCTTCCAGAACCCCCAAGATACTCGAGTCCTTTGCTCGAGGACCCCCCTCCCCCCCGCCCCAACAAGGTCCCCCCCCATGTGGCCAAAACTTGGGGTAGGTGATTCTATTACAGTCGAAGAAAAAGCAATGGAGGTGCAGCAATTTTCGGATGCCGTAGGCCCTCCACCCCCTCAACCCGAATCCCCAGGCCCTGAACCCGAAACCCTGAACCCCTTCCGCACCCTGAACCCTGAACCCGACACCCTGCACACCAACCAAGCATGTCGGGCTCGGGGGTTGAGAGTTGGGGATGTTCCTCCTTTTCTGACAGACCTTCATGGGGATAAGAGTACCCTAAACCCTAAACCCAAAACCCTAAACTCTAAACCCTAAACCCTAAACCCTAACTCCCCCCCCCCCCCCCCAAAAAAAAATAAAAGTCCCGATTGAGGGCCGTTCGTCTAAGGGCCCCAAGTTGAGAGCCCAGAGCCCCTCCTTGCCGTTTTTAGGACTTTAGGACTTCAGGGCTTTGAGTTTTTTAAAGATGAAGGGCTCTAGGATTTTGGGATTTTCAGTTCTTAGTTAGGGGTTTTAGGATTTTTGGGACTTAGGATCTTACGGTTTTAGGATGTTAGGGTGTCAGGGTCTTAGGGCTTTAGGCTCAGCCGGGCCCCAAACCCTGCACAGGTTTAGGGTTTGGGGTTTAGGGGTTTAGGGTTTAGGGTTTAGGGTTTAGGGTTTAGGGTTTAGGGTTTAGGGTTTAATTGGGGTTTAGGGCTTAGGGTTTAGGACCCTTGGGTCGAGGCTCGACACATCATGGCAGCGCTCACTGGCCTTGCTGGGAGGTGGGCTTATAGGGGTTTAGGGCCTAGGGCTTAGGGGCTAGGATTTCGGGTTTAGAGTTTAGGAGTTAGGGTTTAGGGTTTAGGATATAGGGTTTAGGGTTTAGGATTTCGGGTTTAGGGTGTAGGGTTTAGGATTTAGGGTTTAATTTAGGGTTTAGGGTTAGGGTTTAGGGTTTAGGGTCTTGGAGTTGAGGGATAAAGATTGTACTTCCTCGTTGGCTTCGGACATAGTGCCTAGGGCTGTAGGGTTTTTTGGGGGGCGTGTGCTTTGCCCGGAACCCCTAACCCTAAACCCTAAACCGTAAACCCCAAACCCTAGCCCTAAACCCTGAACCCTAAACCCTAAACCCTGAACCCTGAACCCTGAACCCTGAACCCTGAACCCTGAACCCTGAACCCTAAACCCTAAACCCTAAACTTTACTGACATGGGTTTCGTGTTCAGGGCTTGTTTTTTTTTTTTTGTTTTTTTCCGGTTTTAGGGCTGTGAGTTGGGCGTTTCGGGCCTATAGGGTATTGGGTTTTCCCCCTAAATCCCTCTACCCAGCACCCGGTGCTTGTGGGTGTCACGTTTCGAGGGACTGTCCGGCTTCCCGTGGTTGGGAGGTTTGGGTGTAGGGTTCGGGGTTTAGGGTGACAAGGGTTCAGGGAAAGTTTCGAGGGGCTGTTTGTTTAAGTAGATTCCGCACCTCGTCTTCCAAGGGTTGATAACAATTGCTAGGACTCAGAGGCTTCTCTCGAGTCCGATGCAAAGCCGAACAATCCCTAGACCCTAAGCGTTACAATCCCGACCCTCCGATATCAGCCCAACCATCCGCACAAGCACTCCCCAGCGAGCTTCTCACAAAGTCATCGCGCAGGCCACTCTGATTTGGCAGGCCGGGGCTCCTCTTTTGGTGAAGGTTGATGCTATACTGTTACGCAGTTGCTCTTGCTTTTTGTGTTCCTTCTTGTATTTGCATGTTTTGGGAGGGGGGGGAGGTAGAGCTTCGGGTTTGTAGATATCGTGGGCTTATCCGGAGGAGGGTTTGCAGGTTGATCCCTTGCTTCTATGGTCTGTGGGGCTTGCAGGGCTGAAGGGGCTCTGGGTTTGCGGATTGTTCAGACCCTCAACCCTACACCCTGAACCTAAATCCCTTATTCCTAACCCTAAACTCCGTGTTGTTTAGGGTTTAGGGCTTGCATTTCAAGTGACCACCATCCCGGCCAAAGAGCCCAAAAGCCCAAACCCTGCAGCCTCTAAACCCGAACGGTGCTGAAAGATGTTTGGTCTGTATCTCATGGACTTTGTAGGACCAATCCTAAACCCGAAACCTTTCACCCGAAACCCTTAGAAGCGAACCGGAGTGCTGGGTGCAGACTTCCTCCCCTGAACCTTAAAACCCTAAACCCTAAACCCCAAGGGCGGTACCTTCCCCAAGCCTCCTTGAAGGGCTCAAGTTTAAACGTGAAATTTATGGGGCCTTGGCTTTCAGGCCCTAAACTTATTATAGCCTAAACCTTAAACTCTAAACCCGAGACCCCTGCCTAAACACAACCCTTACACCCTAAACCCTAAACTCTCTCCTACTTGCAGTGGAACCCTAAACCCTAAACCCTAAACCCTAAACCCTAAACCCTAAACCCTGAACCTCCCGTGCAGATGTGGTGGTCTACAGCGCCCTCATGCGCTCCTGCGAGCGGGCGCACGCTTGGCAGGCAGCCCTCGCTGCTCGAGAGTGCGGACTTTGCTGATACGAACCCCAGCACCGGAGATTAGGGTTTAGGGTTTAGGGTTTAGGGTTTAGGGCTTAGGGTTTAGGGTTTAGGGTTTAGGGTTTAGGGTTGGGGGATTCACATGCCACAGCAGAGGAATCCTCAGGCCAAAACAGCCCCAACAGGTCACAGCACAGTTGGACAGCTGTTGATTCTGACACACCTTCGCTGTCCATGTTGGGAACGTGCTCAGGGCCGACTTTACACTTTTTGTTTCAGTGTAGAGAGAGGGGTTTGGGGTATAGGATTCCCTAAACCCTACACCCTAAACCCTGAAATCAGGTCTTCTGAGGTGGTACTCTGTTAGGTTGTTCCACTGGAGTGAACATCCGTTTGTTTACAGGGGATAAGGGGTTTTGGAGGTCTAGGGTGTGGTCTCCGAGAACAGCATGCAGTGATGGCGCCTCTCCAGCTCACAAGCGCAGACGGAGTGGGACGGCTGCGTCAGACACCTCTCCGCCCCCTCCCTAAACCCCATACCCTACTGCTCTACACCCTGAAGCCTGAACCCACAGCCCTAAACCCGATCAAAAAAAAAAACAGCGACAACAACCGTTTCTAACAATCAGAAATCGAAGAAAGGACAAAGCAATCATGGTGAGCCACTGAATCCCGACTGCGGAGGTGGCCCTCGCTGTGTTTCACGGAATGCGTGATGCAGGCCTCTTCCTTGCGGGTGTTTGTTTTGGGTTTAGGGCTCCGGGTTACTGGGCTATATAGTATGGGGCACGGTTTCGGCCTGATCCGAAACTGCACCTTCGGAGTACCAGGAATAGCAGCCTTGATGTCCGCAAGAAGTTTGGGGTTGCGGGCCATTCGTATGTGTACTTGTGGGTGGGTACAGGTGTGTTCGGTGTTAAACAATCAACCCTAAACCCTAAAAACTCCTAAACACCTGAGTGGGTCGGGCTCGTCTGATTGTGCTGGCCCACCCAAAGCGCTAAACCCTGTTCCTTTCTGTTTGGTTCAACGTTCCCTTATGAAGTAACCAACCCCAAAAATGGTTGCCCTTATTTTGAGATGGTTACTGGGCTACCAAGTGTGCCACGCCGTAGGATTCGTGATATCACCCAACTATGTTTGCAGCCACTCTGCGCGTGATTGCGATTCAGTGGGCGTGCAGCTGCAACTGTTTCTGGGTGCGCTTTCCATATTTTCAGTATAGCTTATAGTTAAGAAGCTGGTATACTTGCACCTTCAAACCAGAAGAAGAACCCACAGGCGATTTAAGGGTTGTTCCTGAACTGACCTTGCAAGATTGCTTGTTGCTCTTACTTGAAGCGTCATGCGAAGATTTCAAGGGATATTCCTCTCAAACTTGCCATCTGTGGCAGCCCTGCTCTCTGATAATACTGACCTCGCTAGACATGGCGTGTGTGGATGAGTTTGTGACTGGTGCGAGACCATCAGTGGACAGCATCTACCCTTCATATCCGACTTATCCATCCCTTGGGCTTCACGGGCAGCCTTGGGACCAGCCGTGGGTAGTCACACCCTACCCAGTGCTCCCCTCACGTCTCAATCGGCTGCTTTACGGCAGCCTGACTTTGTCAGAGTCCGTGTCCGAGAATGGCTCGGAGGACTCTGGGAGCTTTGGCAGTGGAGATGCAGGTCACATGGAGTTGAATGGCAGCCCTTCGTCACATGTGACGATCATGCCTCCTTCCGGGCTGAGCCAGGACATCGATGAAGTGGCAAAAGTTTACCCAGTGGGCCAGCTTGCCTCACGAGGTCTACCCTTTCTGCCCTCTCCAAGTGGCTTCGCCAACGAGAAGATTGCCCCCCCCCCTCCCCCCACTCCTTCGAGCACCAAGCCGCAAGCAGCGTTCCGGAACTTCAATTTTGCCGTCATCTTCACAGGCTACGACCTGGAAAAGCATGCCGCCTTCGAGCTTGTCCCTCGCTTAATCGGCCGCAATGCCGACAACATGAAGAAAATCTACAAAACTGGGGCCGGCGCACGCGTTTGCGGTCGCGGGAGTGGCTGGAAGGAAGTCAAGTCACCCCATGGCAACTACGAAAGGGATGAACCGCTCCAGTTGGTCGTTTCGTGCCGTTCGGGGGAGATCAGGGAAGCAGCGTCCCTGGTGCTGATTGGGGTAAAAGCTCTAAAGCCCTATATGAAGTCCTTATGCAACCCTTTATATCCCTATATGCAACTCCACCCAGGTTCAAGGAGACAATGGTGCTGGTGAAAGGCATCGCGCAGCACTTCCGCCGCTTCTGTCGCCAACAAAATCTGGACTGCGTGGAGCTGTACGTGGTGCAGAAGAGGCTGGGGGTTCATGCGGAAACTGGTTTTAGGGACCCCAAGGGCGCCCAAATCCGCCCGTAGAAATTCAGGTTTATAGGGTCCATGGCCAACCCAGGAGATGACCCTGTCGGAGGATGTGAGTGTGGCTTACCCCAGTATGTCAGCCCAACACTATGCGATTAGAAGAACAGTAACTACTGTACAAAGCGCAATTACACGTATATACTTGCTTATATTGATTTCCTCATTTATGTTTCTACATTTGTAGTACAACGCTCAAGTCAATTTTTGTCTTTATGCGTGGCTGCCCTTGTACGACAATTGCGGCGGAACCACGCTGATGTTCCGATAGAGCCGCGACTCCACGCGGAGTCGCACTACGTATAGGCAGTCACTCCCTGTTGGACCCAGCAGCCAGGGCAAGCTGTATCTGCCCATGCTAGCGATCGACTACATGTAGTCGGTGTTAGCGAGGTGTGTACAAGTCACTGGCCAACGCGTTCCGTCGCGGCTCTTCCACTAGCAAGTAATTAGGATTGCACGCAACGATCAGGTACCTTTTGACAGGGGTGCAGGGCAAGCGAAGCACCGATGGATCCTCCCAGAGCTTGGCAAAACCCTGTTGTCGACGTGCAGGGTTATTAGGGTTTAGGTTTAGGGTATCGGGCCACTGCCCGGATGGCCTGCACCCATAGAACCATGATGCACCTGATCAAGGGCTTGATGCCACTTGAAGCTGCGAGTTGCAGGTGTGTTTTCTCAGCTGCTAACTTGAACTGTGAGCTGCGACATATCTGTGGCATCTTGCCTGATGTAACACGTGGGGTCTTTTGGGTGATGTTTGCCAAAGCAAATCACCTCGTCCAGTTCCATCTCATTCGGCTCAGTGGTTAACCCACGGCATGAATGGATGCAAGCGAGCAAAATAAACTCGTCACCACGCAACAAGACAAGGAACAAAAAGGCCGCGAACCTCACTGTTGGTTAGTAGGGAATTGGGGGAATGAGGTACCCTAAATCCTAAACCCTAAACCCTAATTCCTTAAAAAGTATATATAGGGCCCTTAATTCCCCCCTTCCCTGCTAGTCAGCAGTAGGGAACATGCAGCTCGGTCTACACGGCCCTTGACCCAATATCTTCGTTCCTGCGTATGGTCACTGCGTCTTAGGCCAAAGCATCACATCGGGGTGTAGGGTTTCGGGTCTAGGGTACACAGGAGCCCAGAATGTACTCGGTCACTTTTTCATCCTAAACCCTATTGCAGGTTGCTGCGCGCTGCATGGGTGTAGGGGTGCTTGTGGATCGCACCCTTGGGCCTCAACGTCAGGGGAGCCTGTTTTTGTTGGCCCTGTGATTTTTTGTTTTTTGTTTGGCCCTTTTCTGGGGCCCTGTTTTCTGGTAGAAAACAGAGGAAAACCAGAGAACAGCCTCCATTGTCCTTTCTAACCCAAAGCCCTAAACCCTGAACCTTGAACCCTAAACCCCGCCCCCCCCCAAAAAAAAAAAGAACACAAAAAAAAAGAAAAAAACAGAAACAAATGGGCAACAAAACAAAAAAAAACAAAGAAACCCAGTGCACCCTCACAGTCATCCCAAAGTCCGGAACCTCAGAGCTTGAAGCACCCAAAGCCCTTAATCTGGGCCGACGAAATTCAATCTTTGTCGTTCTTGTTTCTGGTGGCGAGCCCCGTTATTCGTCAGCAATTTAGGGGGCGGCCTTTACCGGTCAAAATTCAGTTTTTGTCGTTCCAAGAAGTCCAACAAATCTTCATCGGCATCTCTGTCACAGGCTTCAGCGTACTCCATTGTCGGGGTCCTTTGACTAAGTTGGCTCCAATAAAATGAGCCCCAAGCCAAAACCCTGAACCCCAAACCCTAAACCCTAAGCCCTAATCCCCAACCCCAAACCCCAAACCAGGCGTGCAGCCCAACTCCGTGGCACTGTGCACGGCCCTGTCGGTCCTTGCGGCTGGCTCTAAGTGGCCTGAGGCGAGTAGTTAGAGGGTTCTTTTTAGGGCTTTGGGGGTTTGGGTGTAGGGCTTATATAGGGTTTAGGGTTTAGGGTTTAGGTTTTAGGGTTTAGGATTTTGGGTTTAGGGTGTAAAGTTCAGGAAGTTTAGGGTTTGGAATTTAGGTTTCAGGGGTTTTGGCAGTTTGAGGGTTGATGGCTTTGTATGCAAGACGTCACACCCGGTCTCGTCAGCCAAGGGGGTGATGGCTTTAGAGCTGCAGGGCGTTGGTTCAATGCAGGTAGGGTTGCCCTAAACCCTAAACCCTAAACCCTAAACCCTAAACGTTCAGGGCTCTCTGAGTTGAGAGCGAGGCCGTGCAGTTGCTGCCGGCCTGTCCGCCAGAGATCATCGCGGTCAATGCAGCCCCACGGAAGGGCAGCATCGATACCTAAACCCCAAGTCCCAAGCCCCAAGCCCCAAGCCCTAAACCCTAAACCCCAAACCCTAAACCCTAAACCCTATAGGTTCCACTTCGACCCTAAACCCCGAAGCCTTTGACCCCTTCAGGCCCTAAACCCAACGCCGCGACTAAAGCTGCGCAGAACTGGGGCGGATAGGGAATAGGGTTGAGGGTTTCGGGTCAAGGGTTTCTCACGGGATTAAGACCACCCCGAGGGTTGTATCCCTAAAGGTTCCCCTTAATTCTCTCTAATGAGGCACTTCCACCCCGACTAAACCCTAAACCCTGAACCCTAAACCCTAAACCCTAAACCCCAATCCCTAAACCCTAAACCTAGAAACGCCCCAAGTGCTGAGTTTCATCCGACTCTTCGACCCTGAGTTGCAGGGACCCTAAACCCTACATCCTAGATAGGTACTACCAATAGTGGAAGTACATGTCAGGGTCCAGAAAAGCCCAGGCAACCATCACGGCCTGCGCCAACGCTTCAGAGTGGCAGGCATGCCTCAGGAAATTCGGGTTAGGGTTTAGGGCTTAGGGTTTAGGGTGTAGGGTTTAGGGTTTAGGGTTTAGGGTTTAGGGTTGAGGGTTTAGGATTTAGGGTTTGGGGTTTACGGTTTCGGGTTTAGGGTTTCGGGGGGGGGGGGGGGGGGGGGGCGGGCGAGGTCCGACAACACACACCGTATAGGCCTTTTAAACCTAACCACCTAATCCCTATAGTTTATAGGCTAATGGGGGATGCACGTTTTCTGGGTTTGCCTAAACCCTAAACCCTAAAGGGGCTGTTCTTATGGATGTTGGATTCAGGGCTTCTTTTTCGGAAGCTTCAGGTGCAAACAATCTTCGGGGTCGCATGTCGAGGTAGGACCTGCATGTACTCAAGCCTGCTCGAGGGAGTTAGGGCTCAGGGTTTAGGGTTTCGGGTTTAGGGTTTTAAGGTTTACGGTTCTTGTGTGGGCTTGAGACTTGCGCACTTGGGAGCTCAGACCGGGAACGTTGAGCCAGCAACAGTCCGAACCACGACTATGCTTCTTGATAATCCTGCCCTAAACCCTAAAGCTTATTGGAAGTCTGAAAGTCTGCTCCGAACACCTCGGGGCCTAGCGTTTATCGGCCTCATGTGTAAGGGTGTAGGAGTTTTGGATTCGGGTTCCTTTTCGGGAGTCAGGGCGTTTTCAGAGTTCTGGGAATGTTTTCGCAATGTAGCTGGATTGCTTTGATTGGAGTTTGGGGGGTCAAAATACCTTCCGAACGGGATCAGAAGGAGAGATGTTGATCAACTACAGGTACTACAAAGAACCTTGCACCCTAAACCCTAAACATCCCTCAGTCCTCCTTTAGGGTGGGTTCCCAAGGCCAAGCGTTGGAGTTTAAGAGAAGTAAACATGCGGCAGTTGCGAATTCAAGGAGGCCGAAGAGGTATTTGGGGTTTAAGCTTGAGGGTTTGCCCCAAAAAAAGTTTTCTCAGCAGTGGGAACCGAAAAGAAGTCCTGACATCGACAAATACCGAAGCTGCAATGTAGGTTTGGGGCAGCTGTTTGGGTCTGGAACAACATGGGGTTGTGATGAACACCTTGCACCCGAAACTCGGACAGTTAGGAAATCTACGCTCGTCGGCTTCAAGTTTAGGTTTAGTATGGTCTAAGGTTGAACCGGCTTCAGGGTTTAGGTTTTAGTACGGTGAGTTGCAGCCTCAAATGAAACCCCAGCCTGGCTTTCTGCCTTACCAGGTGCCCCTCCAGCTGCTTTCTCAACTCCCGCGCGGGCTCGCCCCGCCGCTGGGCTTTCTGTTTGGGGTTAAACCTTAAGCCGTGCTAAATCCCCGAATCCCCCAAAGCCCTTACATGGCCTTAGTGAAGCTTGAGCCCCATAGGCCCATACAGGACCCTTCCTTCAACCTTGAACTAAGGCCACAACAGCCCAAGCCCCTAATCCCCTCAAAGAACCTCACAGCCCCGTGAATTTCGATCCTAGAACAGATATATAGCCCTCAACCCCTACAATGAAATTACCACCCAGACTACGACAGCCTGAGCCTGTAGGACATTGGTCACCTTCAGTGCCGCAGTGAGTGCTCCGCGGTGGCAGCGTACATAGGTTTTAGGCTTCGGGATTGTGGGTTTCGGGTTTAGGGTCTTAGTTTAGGGATTTGTGAGTGAGTGAGTGAGTCAGTGAGTGGCTGGCCTGGGGCGCACTCCGGCCAACGGACTCTTCCCCCCTCTTCCCTCTGCTTGCGTCTCTTGGGAATTCCTGCAAGAGTTCGGCGCTCCGAGCCCCTCAGTCCGAGTCAGGAAACATGCCACCGAACCTTCACAGGAACAGAAGCTCTTCCCCTTGTGATCCCAACAAGGGTACTACGCTGGGCGCATTGGCTCAGAGACATGGGCTCGCGGTGCGGGGTGGCCGTTTTAAACACGCACACACGCACCGGGAGGCAAGACAAGACAGGGGAGTAGGCGTCTTGGCCCGAGACCCCCGATCGCAAAGACAAGCCGGCTTCATGAGCTTCAAGCACGTGTTACAAGTTG